TCCAAACTAATAGTCATGGAAATAAAAATGCTAGAAAGTTAATTTTCGTGTTCGGTTACATGTGTGAGCCACTGTATCTGTCACTCCCTTTATGTATTGTAATTAAGAGGGATCTGATAGTTCGTATCGGGTCGGGATCGATAATCATATGACTGGAAAACGATCATACGCCCTGTCAATCTGAGGTTCTAACTAATACTAGTGATGAAAAAACGTGATGGAACCACATCTTTCTGGACGAACCATAAAAACGGTAGTCCGGGCCCAGTTCATATGAACTAACATCCCTAGTTATTACCTAAAGATTTCATGCTATGGAAGCTGAAGTGAAGCGATGACTTTCTAGTTAGGAATTTAAGGCTTATATTACATTAATTAATTTTTATATCTAAAACAAAATTGCTTCAAATTTTTTAGAAATGACAGTTCCTCAAAAATTATTATCTAGCTATTCTTAAATGTCGTTGAAATCGTTATGTTAATTTGATGGTATCCTAGTGAAATATAAGCGAGATCTTACACCTGACCATTAAGCAATATCTGAGTTTTTTTGGTTCTGCTGCACATATTCTACTGATACAAAAAATTAGTTTACATTGCCTAAATATTCGCAAGTCATAATTTTGACAGCTGACATATACTAATACAAGAGTATATTATCCAAAATACATGTGCGTGTATATGTATTTAATTCATTAAATTGATGCAATCTTCTTATCTAATCAACTCATTATATCTGCTATGAAAAATAAAAGTTTGTCACAAATAGAACTTTCAGTTTTTCGAGATATATGAAAAATTAGTTGTCAGACCCTGCGCTAACTCGTCAGCAATAAAATTGTATTTTCTGACCGCTTGATGTTAGAATAAATTTTGAGCATGTTTTCATATTCTAAAAATTAAAACGTGATAAAATTTGATATACAGTCAGAATCAACTCTAAACCCTGTAGTTATCTACATCAACAAAATAGCCCGGTCCCATGATCTTGATAACTACGAGGGACGACTGTACGTTGTATTGGAAATAACACATACAACTCACGCTCAATATAGTGAATCTCTAGTTATAGTAAAGAATTTTCTCAAGATTACTATTAAACTTTCGCTGGATATATATATTATTTTCTCGATATAAGCTATAGTGAAGATTTTTTTTCTTGTCCCGATGTCTTCACTATAACGAGAGTGAACTCTAAAACAAATTAATTTGAAATCATAAACATGAAAACCACAGAATATAAACCAAATTAAAAAATTTGAGGTAGCTCGTACTAAAAAATCATGAAAATAGTGTTCTTTGTAATCATAGAATTATCAATGAGCTTCTTCTATATTATGTGATATTAAGCTAAACTATCTTACTAAAAACACGCTGTATTATATATTCGTGATTCCGATAATAAAATATAAGACATAAACAGAAAGACTAAACCTTATTCAAAGAATCCGTAAAAGTGCGACATTTGCAATTTATTCCATAAAAAAGATGCAACAAAGAAGACTTCTTTCTGTTACTCATCCCCGGATGTCCAATATAACTTATGGTAATTGATTCTCCTCCTTTAATATTTTTTCTAGCAGTTAATCGATCCCCCACCACTTCAGCATTGGGTTCACACTGATGATTGAACAGAGCTAACAAAGAAAAGAATCCTGCTTTATCTGGTTTACCGATTTCATTTTTTTCACCAAATACATTCAGCAACACTACGTATTGATAAACAGCAATTGAATATCCAGAAATCGAATCGAAGATACCGATTGAAATTTCTAAAATTTCAATCATTTTCTCATAAATATATACAGAGACTTAGTTGAAGCTGATAGCTCTCTGCTATGGCGGCTAGTTAGATGCTTGATCTCTTTGATGTCCAATGGAGATATCACGATGTTTTGCAATAGCGAAGAACTTAATGGCAATAGATAGCCGAGCGATGTGGTTGAGTTTCCCTCTTGGATAACTGTTAAAATATCAGTTATAGCTTTTCCGCAAAATGTTCTATGAAATAACTCAAGTGCTTGTTGATAACAATGCACACCGCAATACACTTCTTTGCAGCCTAAATTTAGGCATGTAAATTTGCTTTTTGCAGTGATTCTCACGCTACAATTGTCACAATACTCACTCTATTAATCTGCTGCTATGAATAGTGATAAACGATGTTTCCTCAAATATAAGTTGACATAATGATAATTTTCTATGCAAAATTGAATTTCACCGGCATTAGAGGCAGAGCTTTGCCCCAAATTCACCTTGACCAATTTGACTTTTGAAGCTGAAATCACCGAGATTCTATCCTCCAAGTATTCAATCAGCATTTCTTAATTGCCAAAGATATTCGCCTTGGAATGAATAGATTCCATAAAATTGAACTTGATTGATGTATGTTTGACCTAGTTCGAATACGCCTTCATTATATTGCTGAAGTAAACTTCCACGTCGATCCAATTGAAAGGTATATATTTTGCAAGAAATGAATTTTTCGAATTCATTAACTCTTGACAGCTTGTAATGGCATCAATGTAAAGCTCGAGATCAGAATACGCCTGGGCCTTACGAAATGAGGCTTTAAAAATAAGTTGACTGAGCTTAATACTTGGTGAAACAGATTCATTTTTTAGAACGAGTTCGTATTTTCCTACAACTACACCTAAGATTGAATCAGTCAGAAATATTTATGCGCGTTTTGCGTCTACTAAAACAAGTTCTGGATGCCCGAGTCTGAGATATGTCAACGATCGGTTACACCATCAAATTCCATCAGTAGGGTTAAGCGGGATTCCTTTGTTGTATTCTTCAAGTGCTGTTTCAAAATCACCATTACTCACGGCTTCATTGCCTCGAAGTCGATGTTCAAGCGATGCTTTTTCTGATACCATTTTGATGAAAACAATGAAAAAAATCTAAATAAGTTTTTGTTTGAATCTTCCTTTTGCACAATAAATTTTTCATACCGGACACATTATAAAAATAAAAAGCATAAGTGTTAATAAAGGTTTATAGTTTTCAAAATTTTCTGGGTTTATTAATGAGCACGAATTGTTAATTTTATATTGTTTGCAGCGCCATATAAAAATGACTTATTCTATATATAGTTATGTGAAACCCAATCAAATTTATAATTTCATGTTTCGGTCTGGACCGATGGACCTTCGGAACAATCCGGTCCTCATCAGAAAAGACCGAACTGTTGGTTATCACATCCATCATATTCTCCTCTTTACACATGTTATATAATAGTTGCCATAGCGAAAAAGTGTCGAGTCATGTGATTCCGATCACATCCAATATCCCCTTAAAATCGTGCACCAATCAAATCGCAAGATCAATGTGTAACGCAAAAATTGAAAACAAACTGTATCTTAAAATTTTACCTATGAAATAATCATTGGTGTTCTAACAAAATAAGCCTTGCGAAATTTTACTATACACTATACTCCCTATCTGCTATACAATAACCCCTAACCCTCACTCTAACCCTAACCGAAACTCTATTATGCATTATAATTAAGGGGATGTCGTGTGATTGGTGTCGGGTTTGCATCGTTATCGAAATCCCACGATCCGACACTGGTTTCGTCATGGATAGGGTTCTAATGCTATAACGGGCGACGGAGCATGTGGAAATGATTCGGAAGGCTGAAAAATATATTATATTATTTTATGATATATTTTTTGGTGTTAGAGGTGGTATCTCTTAAGCTCCATTCCCATCGATCTGACAGTCTGGGGACCACGGTGTTCGGCCTTTAGGCCGACAGACCGATTAACAACCTTAGTTTCATTTTTTCTTGTTAATATGAAATGAACACATTTCAAAAATAGTTTTATAGGCGAAAAATTTTCTTGAGCTTGTACGTATATTGATAGTTGTGATTAATGTAATAAGTAAAACACGTCTCATAAACGCGTTCGAATTTCAATCTACTCAAACAAAATGTATCGACTTGTAGAACTAAGAATTAAATGCAACACACATTAGAGGTATTATCAAGTGTTGCTTATGTTTAACACTGATTCTGTTAGAATTTTATCCAAAGGTGTAACAAGTCAAATATAGGTAGATCCTTCCTTTTTACCTGTGTAAGTTAGAAACCAAGAATGTATGATAACAGTTTAAGTAGTAGCTGTTAATTCTGTGAAGATACATTTAAAAACAACAAATTAATAAACGAAATTGTTATTTGGTTTTGGTCATAAATAAAGTATGAACAAGACAAATTTAGTATGCATTAAAGTCAAACGTTTACTCAAGAATTAATTAAGTCCAATTTTTAAAACCAAGTGTTTTTAAATAGTCATTTTTTCACCGTTACTAAATTGAAAGTGTACAAAAACGTTTTTAGCTGCGAAAATATTGCATAATTGTATACCAACAACACAAAATAAAAATGACACTAAAATTCCAGTTCAACCAAATAACGGAAATTTAAACGGGCCAAATGATACATGGTAGATACATAACTCTCTTCTAATTGAGGTTACAATGCAATTTACGTATAATTAGATATTTGTACAGACAAACCTCCCTAAATGCACCCTCTATAAGTGCGCACTCTTTAAATGCACAGCATGGTTGGGTCCCAGCTCATAAGAGCTCTATATATTTTGCCCTCTATAAATGCACACCCTCTAAATGCATGCTTTACTATAGTCCCAAGGGGGGGCATTTAGGGAGGTTTTTCTGTAGTTGAAAGATCCTGCAATTATTTCATTCGAATAATTGGTGCAAGATAAGTTGTTATCAAATGGTCTATGGAATTATTATGAGTGTAACAGTATTTTGAATTTTCATATTACCGTACGTCCCAACTAAGCCACCCATTTGGGCTGTTAATCAGTTCCAGGAAACCAGGTTCAAAGCATGTTCTACTTGAAACGACAAGAATCCAGTTGAGTACAGGATCCCAAAACTGTCCAATAAGACTAAAGTTATATACGTATTGTTATATTCTGAAATTCTGAAAACATGTTATTATTATTTAGTAATTAAAAGCTTTTAAGATAACAATGATGATAATTATTATAGCTTTTAGGAAATTTATAGTTCTCAAAAATAATAATTTAATAAAAAATACTATCGTATAACCTTTTATACATGTATTTATTAAATTGATAGTTCTATACATAACGTATATTGTGTGCAATTACGTATCTCGATGATCTCTGATTTTGGAAATAACCATGCATCTTGATTTGACGATTGTAGGAAAATCATTTTTTCAATATTGCCTACTAACAACGATGGAAATATTACACATGAAAGCAAATGATACTATATCTGGGTTGCTGGAAGAATAGATGCTACTGACATGGAGTTAGACACTGCTGAAGGGAACAAAGCACTATCCAAACATTTTACCACTGGACTGGCTTGAAGTTGAACAATTAAGCATTAAAGATGTTCCTCATCCTGGACGTCAATTAATAGTATTTAGCAAGTGATTACCATCTCAACTGGAAGCATTGAAATCATCTTACATAAGAAAATTCTGTCAGGAAGATGTGTGCAAATGGGTTTCTCGCACTCTTACAGTGCTCGCCATATATAATGAGAAAAATACGCCATTTTTTATTTTATTTTTGCATTATAAAAACTGCTTAAAAATATATATAAATTTACAGATATATAATTTAATATATTGCAAACAAGTTTTCTTAAGACTACTTATTAACATATCTTATTTTTATTATTCTTAATATTAGATTTTAATTTTGATAAATTTAATTAAAAATTTTCTTTTTTGACTTTTTTAATACTTTAAAAATACTTGTTCATAATATATCAAAGTATATATATTTAAACTTTTATATGTTTTCGATCAAATTTTATGATGTAATAAAAAAAACTACCATTTAGATTACTTGACTTAGTTTTATTTATAGTGTACTATCAGAATTCGATCAAATAATTGAAAATAATTACAATAAGTTATTCTATAAAGTAGTCTTGATCGCGATATATGAACTGTATATCTGCAAATTTTCATAGCACAATAAGGAAAAACAACATTTTCATCATTATATATGATGAACAGTGTACTGACGAAAAACAAGCAAAAACGAATAGAGATTTTAAAGAAATTAATAGGGTATCTTGAAAATGATTTTTTAAAATATTATTACTGAAAATAAAACATAATTTTATTTATTTACAGTTTATCTAAAGAGATCAACAAGATTTGGCTAAGCCAGGAAGAAAACTAGCTTGAAATTACAAGAACAGTTCAAAATAATAAAAAATGTATGTTTTGCATTGTTTTCTCAGTTAATGAGATTGTGGTAAGTATTCTAGTGGAAAAAGAACAGACAATCACTGGTAATTACTATAACAACACTGTTTTATCAAATATTTTCAAAAAAATCAAATAAATCAATGACAAGAGTACAATGTATAACATTATGTTGCATCCTGACAATACAACGCAATTCAAGACGAATATTATTTTTGAGAAGTACAAGTTATGATACTTTTCCATTCTCCTTGATCTGGTTTCCTGTGATTTTTTTTGTTTTCTAAAATTAAAAAGAAATGGATGGAAAAAGTTTTGAGAGGATTCAAAATCTTGTATGTGCTATAAAATCAATAAAAGATTATCTATCACAAGAAGAGTATTTTAATTGCTTTTAGAATTGGTGTAAGTGGCTGAGATATTGCATAAAACTATTTTGAAGGAATGAAATAGTTAGTTTGGCAATTAATATATAAATAAAAACGTTTTGATGTTCTATGTAAATCATGCTATTTAAAAAATTAATCTTGATTATGAGCTTGAATAGAACATCTGATAATGATGTCATAATAAATATTAAAGAAAGAATATCGAGTTTTACTATCATTAATGTTATCTAAATTATCGAAAATACAATCAATACCAATATAATATGAAAGAAAATTATATTAATGCTCATCCCAAAATTGCAGTAGTTCGTGCATCAATATAATTGACAAAATTTTCTATGGTGCAGGAACTCTTAAATCGACAATATGTTTCAATTTTAAAATGTCACTACTCGATATAGAATCATTAGCCGCCAGAAGAATAAAGAATCAAATTGTATGTTTCAGTTTTTAATTAATATAAATTTATTTATCTATCAGAAAAATAAAGGCATTTTTTCTTAATACTAACTGTGCATCAAACTTTCACAATAAATGTTTGATTCGTCAATTCGATAATAATTAATTGTTGGCTTCTTCAATATTGAAATTATATGCATATAAAAATTTGATATTGACATTAGTTATTTGTATTTTGACTAGTTTTCTTTATTCATTTGATCTGAATAATAATAGAGTTATTAAGTAGACTTCGAGGAAAAGACAGATGTTTCCATAAATCTTTAGAACATATAGGACCAGTTTTGGATCTAGACCTGATTTAAAATAGTTTTTAATCAAACAAGCTGCTACTGCTCTTCAAAAAACCGATTTCTATGAACATGATTTGCTTAGAGTCAAGGATGAAAGATTGAATTTGATGTTGATGAATTTGAAGTATTTCAGAGATAGAAAATTTTGGTTATTAAATTTAGTCTATCGGGGCGTGTTTACTATAACTGTTCCTGGAACCAACTTCAGTTTATAATTAATGCTTCGATTTAATGGAGTATGGTTTAACAAAATTGACTTTATGTTTGAATTCTTTTTTTTAATGTACATGTATAAATACAAATATTTAACACCTTTTTATATTACACTTTATTAGAAATATGAATATTTTTGTTCTTTAATTTAGTTTCAAACTATTGATTCTTTATTTGTAATTCGTGAGGGTTCTATTATTAACATTAAAGTTTTTATTTCCTTCCACTTCCTAAAATAAAAATTCAAATGGGTATGTGAAAGATTATCGTTGCTTCTTATAATCTCTATAAGAAAATTTGCATGTAATATGTCTGTAAAAATACAAAATATGTGAAAAAAATTTGTAAAAGTAAGTTTGTTTTTCATTTATCGGTATTTTTACAGACGTCAACATTTTCGTATACATGAAGTTTCGTACTCATATATCGAAATTTACAGACAAATTTTTTTTAGCGATGTACGTAGTAAGTCTGCATTAAAAAAATCGATCAATTAATTAATCAACTACTAAGACTATTGAACTATATTTAACGAAATATGTATAAAATTGTGGAAGCCATTGTAAGAAACTCTCGATACAAGAAATTTCTTGAAATACAGAGGGGTGGCAAAAGTTCCCGAAATAATTCGCTTAATATAAACTCTACTTTTTTAAAATATAATCATAAAAAATGCTATAACAATTTTATTTCTTCAAGTAGTTCTCTGCATTTTATATTAAATGATTAGTATTTGGTTTGGCCACCCTCTGCCGCAATCACTACCTGAATTCGATGTGGCATGTTATTGAACAATTCTTAAGCATTTTGTTTCTTTGGATCGCTTTCCACTCTTCTTTGACATACATATCTGTCAAGTTCAGTAAGATTTGCTGGTTGCTACTTTCACTTATAAATATTCTGTTTAACTATTTTCAATTGGTTGAGATCAGGACTCTGGGGTGGTCACGAAAGAATGTGCAAGCCTGAGTCTTTAAGAATTGTTGCTGCAACATTTGATGTGTAAGGATAAGCATTTTCTTGCTGAAACTCAACCATTTCCTCATGAAAACATGCATCACATGATTAGTAAAAGATGTTTGTGAAGTGTTTCAACATATGAAGTGGCACAATAGGACCTACACCCTGCCGTGAGAAACGGGAGTGCGGCTGAAGGTGCGAATAAAAAGCTTCTTGCCTGTTTTTTTCTTTCAAAGTAATTGTACCTCAGACTTGCATAGCCGTTGATTTTTGTTGTTGATTATCAGTCACTTAAGCTGGTTGTGCTTGGTGATGTTAAGCAGGCGTGGTCTTCCGGAGCGGAACTTGGATTCAGTAAATCCTGTTTTGGCATATCGCAGACTGTAGTTACATCACATCCAATATTAAAATAAGTTTCTCCATGTTAGCGTAAATAGAATATGGTCCCATGTTGGGACACGGTCAATTCTTTCTTTTTATCTATCACGTTTGTGAGAAGGGATAATTGTAAATTTGGACGCAATTCATGGAAATCATTGCTTGTGTAAAATGTTACGTAAAATCTGACTTTAAAAAACATTTCGGAAACTTTTGTCACCCGCTGTATTTCAAAAATAATCTATCTTTTAGCAATATATGACTATAAGAAATGTTTTGTTGGACCCAAAAACTCTGTTATTATTTGTTACATGGTGACATTATAATATATACATGTATATAGAAAACCAAATTCTTTTTTGTTCCTTACATAAGAAAGAATCTATTGATGGGATCGATTAAAATTAAGTGATTAGTAACACATCTTAACAGGGCTAAAGTAAATAAATAATGCTAGTAATTATTAAATTTAAACCTCGAATATAATGATCTTTAAATTTTTTGCACTTAAAAAGTAGCTCAATAAGACAAGACCACCACATTTAATATACAATTCGACGGGACCAACTAATCAGACATGGGCATGCATTTATAGAGAGATTGCATTTATAGAGAGTATATATTTTATAAGCTTGGAACTGAGCATTAGAGAGTGCGTGCATTAATCGCATTTCAGAAACACTATTTCTCGTCGAAACCCGGTATGCAAATCGTCGTTTTTTATCAATGGAAATTTAATTGACGATTCTTTATTAGCAATTTAGAGATAGCGATAGGGACGATGAAATTATCTTTATTGTGTATCTCGAGTAAAATCTAATCGTTTCATATAGATTATGCATGTTGCATCGAAAAAGATACATTTTAGCAACAGTCGAATTTTAGATTATTAACGTTAATAAATAAATTGATCGAGATTAAGATGGATATTTTAAAGTTATCGTTATCATTATCTTTATGATGGTAAGACACAACAGAATCACAGTGTTTTTTTTAGCAAGGTCATATGACTGTGGCTGGGTCAGTGAGGAGTGTGGTCGAAACTTTTGTTTCGAAGATCGAAAAAAAAGAAATGTGCATGGTGCATATACAGTATGCGGAATGACATTTCAACAATAACGGATCATTGTTTGTCTTTGTAGCAAGCTAAAATATCTCGATGCATTTTTTTATCAAAATATAATCATACGATTATGCTCATATACAAAAAAATGATTCATAACTTTCTATGCGCGCGTTTGCATCGTCTTTGCTAATTGTTACCTCATATAACTGGAAAAAGCGTTCTCAATACCTACCGTATTGTTTCTATGCTTTTTAGTATACGTACATTACCAATGAAATACAGCGAGCTTTTTTTTTGAAGTGCATGAGCATTCAGCTAAATTATTGTTTCCGCTTTCGTTCAAAAAAATATCGTATATGAAATGACGTTGTATTCATGCATATTTAATACGTAGTAATGATAACGGTTAACATCAGTTATTTTGCCTCGTCATAAATTAAGTAAGATCAAAATAACGTACCTCTCATATGGCAATTAAAAGGGGTGATTTTAATCTGATTTTCCTTTTTTCCCTCTTTTTACAGCACTCTTCTTCGTTTGAACTAAGACTCCTTAAAAACTTTGCCACTAAAAAAGAAGTATTTTCTCTCACAACAATATTACTCGTCCACGTGAACTTATTATTTACGTATTCGCCAATTCATATTCTTGTGAAAATCATTATTCCATTATAATATGTCAATATTGTCTTATTAACGTTAACATTAGTGATAATACAAGAAAATAACCGTCATTGTACTGACAACAGGTTTTTTAAAAATGACTAACGTAAACAATGATGCAAAATGTGCATATTTTTAATGAAAGTAGCATGATTTTGGTACGTACTGTACATGGTTGACAAAGACGTTCTTTGACTACGTATTACCGTTACGACAAACGATGGTATCAAAATTTGCATGTGCTGTTTTTGGCTTCATGCCCAATACTCGATAGATCTTAGTCAAAATTAAATTTTATTAATTAATTTCTCTCGTCGTAACAGTTGTAATATTTACACAAAAAAAAGCACATACACTCGTAGTTTTTTTAATATAATAAGAATAATAAAAAAAAACGAAAAGATTATTACATCTAGGAATATACAGCATCTATATATGATATGTATGATAATGAGAGCATATGCTAGAAAATCGGATAAAAATTGAAATTGTCTTGTTAAATGATGTGGTGATTATTTGTAGCTGAGCTGTATTTGTCATAAAATATTCTTAAGATGTTGTATCGAAAATCCATTCTTCTAATGAATCTTCGTCGACTACTTGGTTATTAATGAATTTTACAACCCAATCATCCCAAAGCGAGTCTTCTGATAATTGACTTGTCGTAGAAGACGTCGAGCAAGTATCCGAGACGGTGCTTACTATTCGTGTGTGTTTTCTTGATCGTGGTGGTGATGATAATGTTGGTCGTTGTGGAAAAGTATAGTATGCACTCGATGATGATGATGATGATGATGATGATGAGGTTTTGTGGTTATTTGTTGAGAATTCAGTTGAAAAAAGACCAGTTTTTGTGCTGTCTGTCGGTTTAATAATTTCCAAATTGTAGATAAGTTTGTCTTGCACCGAAGAAACGGTAACCTGTGCTGCTATTAAGTCTGTTTGACTCTTATCAAAGATATTGCAAGTCTGCGCAGCTTTTCCGTTGCTATTCGCGGATTTTTTTGATTTTGAGACGCTTTGTTCGTACCAATGTGAGTAAAATGCCATTTCAGAGAAACTTTAGAACGGTAAAAAATAAGAACTAATTTTTTTTAGAAGATTTGGCCTGTTCGTGTTTTAAATAGAAAAATTGTATGCTACTAAATGTTCTGTTCGCGTTACGATTTTTTTGATAAAAAGCATTAATTATTACAGTGAAAATTTTTTTTTGCTTGTTTAATTCATCTATTGTACATGTATTTATACTCTAACGCTAGCGTAAGCCCTTATTTGATACTGATACACACACACACTTCGCCCCTTACACATGTATCAATGAAATACTGAATATTCCTATTTTATGACCATTATCAATTATATGTAATTATTAATAGATACCAATCATTGGGCGTAGTAAATTGATGTATACCAATACCACTCCGTGAAACGTCTATTATGTGGATCAATGATGAAAATGGTAGTATTTTCTTCCGGATTGTGCATATCGATATGAAAAATGCCATGACTTCGAATAAAGGTACCTTTAGCATTCTAAATCGATATACAGTACTTACTTTTTATGGATGTTTGTAGATCTTGTAATGTTTTGCTTTCTCTCATTGCTTTGTTTGTGATACGGAATTCTTGACTCATATTCAGTCTTTTTTATTTTTTATTATTTAACCTGGTGACTTTTTTTATTCATTCCTATTCATGTAAATGTATGTGTATCGGTATGTGTATGCTGACTTACCCACGCAGTCGTTCACCTGATCAAAAAATTCAATTATGTACTCCGGTTTCTTGGATTCTTCTTTCTGGTTCTAAATCAGAGATACAATGAAACTTGCACACAACAATAGTCGTACATGTGATCAATAGATTATTTTTGACTTTACATCTGATTATGTGTTATCGTTATTTATTTGACGGATGATTAAGTGAAACAAAAACAATCATCAGCCATATATATATTTATTAAATTAAAACTGCCATCTCATATTACTGCTTCATATTACTGCTTTCCTAGAAAGTGATGTCAATTTTGGCGCTTGTCACATTGTGATAGAAATGACAAGCCTCTATGAATAACACGAACGAAATGCTAAAACTGAAACCGCGACCAACCGTAAACACAAAAGTGTGCACAATACCTGTGCATTTTTCCGTCCATAAAAGCCCGTGAAGCCACGCACCTAGACAAATATGCTTTTTGCTTACGCGAAGTGGGAACCATCTTACCACTAATGTCGGGGTTATCACATATACGGACCATCTCTTTCTTTCTATAAACATACATGAATACAAAATAGTTTATTTCTTTGCCTTACTTCATGTAAAATCATGACTATTTTTGGAATGTACCGTCGATGAAACACAATGGGTTCCCTGTTGCAGAATAATATCGACATCGATATCGATATGATGTAACTACGTAAACGTTTTTAGTATCAATCAACACCGGAATATTTTATTGCTTAAATAGGCAAGAAATTAATGCCAAATAACTTCATACATACATACGTACATGTATCAAGTGATGATGCGAAACGGTTTTTTATCATCTATGCGAGTTACCATCATGATGATGACTTGATGACTCGAGACCCTGCCCGACTCAAAATAATATCATCCAGTTTGAGAGTATGTTTAGATAAATTCCGTGGCTATTTATTTTCTGAATGACATGTGTCATTTATTTTTCTGAATGACATTATTTTTTTCTGAATGACATTATTTTTTCTGAATGACATTCAATTAGGTATCCATGTGTCATCTATTTTCTGAATAACAATTATGTAGTACCAAATTTATAAATTTCCGAAAACAATTTTAAAATAACACCCGAAAATCCTGTTCCGTAATTACGAATTATGTACTATGAGAAGACAATAAACACACATTAAGTTTAACCGCTTGGTAAAGTTCATAATTATTATTCTCTATTTGAAATACCGCACTAATAACTAATATGATTCATAAAAAGTTTCAGTCTAATTCATTGATTAATTTTCCAGACTATAACAGAATTTTTTGCTAACGTATCTTTCACTGTAGTTTTTTGCTCTTAGATTTAACAAGTCATCAGTCGAAAACATTAAAAAAATAAATCACTCTTCTTTTCTTGCATAAAATTTTAATACACTTTCTTGTGTGTGCATGTGTCTTTAGCATTATAAGATCCTAATTAGTGCGGATTTTTAATAGAGATTGAAAATCCGAAAATTTCCGGCGATTATGATCCTGAGGCTGCAAAATTCTCTACAAAGCTAGTCTAATTCGAAGTTATTATGTAAAAAAAAAATAGTAGTTAGAATTTTCTGAATGTTTTATTTTCTGCATCGCTTTTATTGTGATACCAGAAATTTTGACTCATATTCAGTCTTTTTCTTTTTTACAGAGATAGCCAAAATTATGTGGACACTTTATAAAGCAAAATAACAGAAAATCTCTTATTACATGAATTAGAATTTTATTTTTATTGACCATTTTGTTACATAATATATTAATAGAATAATACTTTGTTCAGTCACTATTAACAAGAATGACATAAAGTCAATTAGATATACAGTGGCAATCAAAAATAATGCAATGACATTAAAATTTATTATTAAATATAGTAAAATATAGATTTTATTTTATATTAAATAAAGATAATATCATATATTTAACATATATTTTTTCAGATTTTTTAGATTTAATCTGATAAAACTGTTCTAATTGCATATAAAGTTAATTATTTTTTACATGTTTTAATTATAAAAAAATAATTAATTTTGTATGCAATTAGAACAACTTCATCAGATTAAATCTAAAAAATATATGTAGAAATATTAAATATTTATTAATAAAATTGAAAACTTTAATATAAAGAGAAAATCTGTATTTTACTATGTTTAATTAATAGATTAATATTATTGCATTATTTTTGATCGTTACTATATTTTAAATTAGTTTTTTATAAAATAACAGTCACTTTTAAATATAATATCTTGGAAAATTCAAATATAAATAATATTAATTAATTCATTTAAATAAGATAAAGCAAATAATAATATTTATATTCAGAATAATTAATTTAATAACAAGATATTTTGATCAAAATAATTTGGTTACTTTGGATATATTATTTTAATATTCTATAATTTATATTAAACAAAATACAATTATTTTTTATTAAAAAATTCTCTAAAATTGTAGTTTAGAAAATTATCTAAAAAACTAAAAATTCAGTTTTTTTTTGAAAGATATTTATATAATTTTAATTTTTTTATTATATATTTGATTATTTCTGAATTAATATTTTTATATTTTAGCTAATTTCATATTTTGTTCTTAAAAATCAATAAATTTTATAATTTTAATTCATTAATTAATATATCCATTAAATTCCTTGATTTATTTTCAAAAAAATCAATAATTTTTATAATTTAAATATATTTTATTATATTTTTTAATTTATTTTTAAAGAAAATTAATAAATTTTATAATTTTATTATACTTTCTAAATATTTTCTAAAATAAATTACTTTTTTAATAAGTTTGATATATTTTTTATTAATTAAACAATATATTTATTAATTTCTTAATTTATTTCTATATAAAATTAATAATTTTTATTTTAAATTTTGAATATAAAATAAATATTATATATAAAATTATAATATTTAAAATAATAATTTATATAAAATAAATATGTTAAGATTATGAATATTAAAAAAATTAGCAGATTATTTTATTAAATAAAAAATAATAATTTATTTAATTTTTCTTTTTTCTTTCTCTTTTTACTTTTTAATATTATTTTTCTATTTTTTTATAATATAATAATAACTTTTATTTTTTTTATTAAATAAAAATTTGTTTTTATATAATTAATATAGTTAAAAAATAATATTTAATTATTATTTATATATATTTCAAAATAAAATATTTTCAAAATAAAGCATAAAATAAAAAGTAAATCAATCTCAAAAAAGAATTAATAAACAAATAAAAAATTTTATTATAATAAAAATTAAAATAAAATAAAAAAATTTATTATTAATTTATTAAAATAATTATTAAAATAATTATATTAAAAAAGTGAAAAAAAGTTATTTTATAAAAATAATAAAATAAAAAAATATATATTAAATATTAAATATTTTATTTTTTATTTTAATTATAATTATTTTTACTTCTATTTTTTTCTTTTATATTTTTTAATTAATATTAATTATAATAAAAAAATTTTAAGTAAGAAAATTATTAAAAAATTATTTAATATAAAAAAATATAATATTAATTAGTTCTAAATTAATTTCAAAAATTTAAAAATTACTAATTCAAAAAGAGTTAAATTATTTAATTATAATAAGTTTATAAATAATTTGTAAAATAAAATTATCTTCAAAATTAATAATCTTTTTGAAACTATTTTAATTCAAATAATTTCAAATTTATTTTAGTTCTAAAATAATTTCAAATCTATTTCAAATTTGATATTTTAAAAAACTCTGATTTTTCAATAATTTTATTATTTATATTTAATAAATAACTTATATCTAATTATTCTTAATTAATAATTTGTAAAAAAAATTATTTTTAAACAAATAATTTTTGTAAAACTATTTGAATTATTTTATTAGTAAAAATAGTATTTATTTAATTTTTAAAATATTTAAAGTATAAATAAATATAAAATTTAATAATTTCAAATATTAAACTATAAAAAAATTTTGATTTATTTCAAATTGTTTAGAATATTTTAATAATATTTTAAAAAGATAAATTTATATTTTATTTTGAATTTACTTTTTTTATTAGCTTATTTTAAATATTTTTAGAATATTTTAATAATATTCTAAGAAAATAAGTTTACTTTTTATTTTAATACTCTTTTTTATTGAATAAGAATATTTGAAATATCTAAAATTTAATTTAAATTTAAAAAAGTATATAAATACTATTAATCATATAAATTATTACTTATTAATTAAAATTAAATTTTTATAAAATACTAATATAAAAATTACAAATTGTTAATATTAAAAAAATATTTCAAAATTTATTAAATTTGTTTTGTA